GGACATTACAATACAGCAGCAGCTACTGGCTCTTGATATGTAACCTTACCTTGGCGATCCTGTCTCTTCCTTGCTCTAGTTTCAGCAGCTTTCTTAGCCACCGCCTTTCTTCTCTCTGATGTTAGGCCAACGTGTTCTACCCAAATACGAGCATCTTCAGCAGAAAGAAGCACCTGCCTGGCGATGTTTTCTTAGTCTGCCTGTGTCCACTCTTCATTTTTCTCAAACTTTAACTTGGTCGCTGATTCCAGCTGATCTTTTGGCGGGACAAATACACATTTCTCTGTCCCATTCCTTGCAACAAACTCAGCATGATCATTTGGGTTTAAATAATGGCCGGTGCAAAGGCCCTTGCATCGGTCACATGGCTGTTCCCAACAATGCTTTGGGTCTGGAACAGGAATGGGAAGATACGAAAGGGGTGGTCCACCAGCGTACCACACAGGCTCTTTATCAGGTTTACCTTTTCCGCAGACTGGGTGAATGCAGACATCTTTGTAGCATGGTAGGAGCTGGAATATGTACTGACTTGGGAGCCCCTCCACTATGTGCCGATCTCTAAGCTGCCAAATTTCTGTGAAGTATTCAAAAAGGGCTGGGTTTTCTTCCTTGAGTTTTCTTTTGCTCTGCTGTGAACCCTTCAAAAATGCAATAAGGTGAGGTCGTCTGCTTTTGTAATTCCTTGCAAGATCATTCCTGTTGCCCTTAAAAAGCGTTATGGACGAGTTTCCAAATGGCGCATTATTACACTTGCTGATATAAACATCCGTAGCAGCATCAAGATTTCTTTCAAGTTTTTCATAATCAATTGACCCATTCTTTCCAAAGTTGGATCCATGAATGGTTGACGGAATGAAGATATTTCCATGGGCTACAGACAAACATCCATTTTGAAGCTCAACTCTGTTTAGGTATGACGAGCCACTGCAGCGGGTGGTGACCAAGGTGCACACTTTTTCCTGTTCCAAATGTCGCTCGGTCCACATAAATTTTACTTCTTTATGTGACGGACCTTCATCAGCTGCACCGTCTACTCGAATGCAATCTATTGGCTTGTTCTTCATGCAGGGCTTGAATTCCTGTTCATTCTCGAGCATAACAACATCTGCCGCATGCTGCGATGGATCTTTCGGGTACACAATGTGTGCTTTGACAATGCCTGCTGAGTATTGGGGAGTTGTTTTTGTACCTGGCACTAGAT